CTGTACTGCGCAGTTTCGGAGGCATCACAACAAAACCCTTCTTGAACTACAGTCCTCAATGTTCACAAACTTTCAAATTTCAAGCCATGTACATGTTTTTTTGAATCTGCTATCGCCTATTTGCGAAGGCCTATGTAATTCCGTCTCGATTACTACTTCCAATGAGTCTTGCCGTTTACCGTTATTGCAACAATAACCCTCTTATTGCTTTATTCGTCTATACACGATATAGGCAACTAATACTTCTAAAACCATACTTTCACGTCAACGAATGTTGATCCCAACGAGTAAAAGAGGCGGTTTTAGGTCAAGGGTACGCGTTAGAGGTAGTTTATTGTGTATGTAGGCTTGGATAGGTACGCGTGCAATAATATCTAAATAAATAAGTATGATTGTGAATACATACACTTATTTTGATTGCAAGGGTAATACTGTCCCTTTTTGTCCATTATACGGACATACCCACGTTGCCGTCGTTCCCGAATTAAATGCCTACCTCTCGACTGTTTTTGATACGGAGTAGTACAAGCATTCATTGCCATGGTGTGCGCTCGTAAATTAGAACACTGTAGCGCATCGTAGGTATTGTCAGGATGAGTGATGAAATTATATACTCACCAACACACCTCCTCTCCCTACCGTCTCTGGATCCAACCCAATACCAGGTCAACCCCAGACCGGAGTTTGCCAAAAAAACTTTACGTTTAAGCGATGAAAATACAAATTAATTAGTGACAGGTTTTCAGAATGCTTGCGTCAAGTATTGCTCACTGATAACTACATAGATCCCGCATCATGTTCACTAAAACTTTACTCATAAGACTGGATAACTTCACGTGCCTCATGAGAAGGGAATTCGCCATTAGGGTATTCAAATGGTATGAACATTAGGACAGCTCAAATCCGCCATCTAGAATCATGTAACACTTTACGTAAAGTAAGAACGAGGAGGTGCAGGACTGTTGTGTTGAATTTGTTCTCATACGGAGTGCAGACGAAGACTGTTTATGAGGGCCAACCAAGTATACTGGATAATGTTTGACTCTTCAGCCAGCGTTACCACAACTCATGGCATCGCTACGACACCAGCCCATCGATGCATCTTGTCGTTAATATCACCACAGTGACCTGGAAGGTAATGAGCGAAAACGCTGCCCTAAGGCCTGCATTATATTGCCAGGAACCCCAATATGAACCCGGTGCGTGCATTGTGACTTTATTACAGGGCATTCCAGCGTAGCATGGGCCTATTTCGACAAACACGACTTGATAAAAACCTTCGCAAAATTGCATAGACGTAACCCCTGCTAACAAACCTTGACACATAAGCCTATATGCTGCACGTAAACCCGTTTTACAACACCTGACACGCAGAGAGCATATTCATTCCTGAAGTCAGTAATGAGTACGCTCCAGCACCCGTCCAGTTTATGTGTGGTACGTGGAGACTGGTTGCTGCAGCATTTTCCGTCACGGCATCCAAGACTGTCGATAGATACTCGGAGAGCGTGGAAAACGGACCAGCGCCGGTCCCCTGAGCACACTAGTGAATATTTCATTGTATTACATCTCCCGTGCTTTGTGACCACCGAGATGCTCTAAAATTCACGCTGATTGCTAACGAAATGAACAATCTGACATTCATTTTTCTGTTCTGCATATGATGTTGAATGATTCACAGAAAGTAAGTTAAAGTCACTTGCACCTACGAGAAGTAACGCCTAGACTATGAGCGTGAACTTGAACTCTACGGCTGTAAAAGTTTCGCAAATTCTGTGGTAATCAGATCGTGTTTTGCTACGCGTTGGCGAAAAGACTACTTTCATCAATCATCGCGCGCAAGCCAATGTACGGTTGTTTTGACACTGTTACATCATCTGTAGTGGAGTATGCGTTAGGTACATCGCACATTTGCCTCGCTATGAACGAAATCAGAAGAAGCAGACGCTAGGACAAGTATTTCATTCGCCGGGCGTTTTGAAATCCGTCGCAGATCCCCTTTTAGCGACAATCGCAGAAATGGGTAATTTATTCACCGGGAGTTGCAGTATTTAAAGGCTACAATCGCTATGCTACTACATACCTATGAGAACTAGCGAATTCCCCTATCGAGAGGACAGTTTCCCGCCTATGGGATAACTACTTAATGACCAGCAGGCGAGTCGCGACCTTCTGAAAATTCCTCATTGCTGCTAGATTAGGGGGGTAATAACTCTTCGGCCGTCTGATTTCCTGGCGCTGGCGTAAGTAGCTTTGTCAGCCAATGCTGCGATAACGCCATGGGGCCAACTCTGCGTTTCATGGCTCAAAAAAATAACTATCCGGTTGAAGAAGCCGGTTTTGTGTGTGCAAAAGAACCTGGTGCAAGATTCAAGCTTAGCATGGCCAACGGCCACCTAGCTACCGGCACTTTTCTGCGCCTCTTCTCTCCCTTTCCCTCTCTCCTTAGTTTCCGCTTAATTAGCCGCTTGCTCATACCCCCAACCCCCTTTCCTATTCCCTGGACTAATTTGCCTGTAACGTTGAACGGTATTTACCTACAATGTTACCCTTCGAAATTTACACCCCTCCCATATACTTGTGACGGCTGGATGAGAATTTATTGAAAGTTTACGTATGCTCGCCAATTGCTCTTCAGATATATGTGATGGGAATTTTTGCAACCTTAAATTTTCTTTACTGTTAGAAGAACCCTTTTTCGGATTATGAATGGCAAACTTTGCAAATGCGACGCCATCAAAAAGTGCTCTCAAAAATATCCCTCCGCTGCCAACGCAAGTGATAATGCATGCAGCCGTTCTATGAAGCTATCTAGACGCTATGATGTACTCTAGACTAAAAATTTCGTATTTATTTAATTGAAGATGTCATTTCAGAGGCGGACGATATCACTCCCAGATGACCAACTGGTAATTGAGTAAATGGAAGGTATATCGTTGTAAATTTTCCTCCTAAAAACTAAAGGAACTATTCTGAAAAAAAGACAGAAGAGTATGAGGGCCACGGAAAACTCAATCGGCCTCAACAATACAAGGCAGTTTACTTAAAACTATGCTTGTGACTTTAGGCTTTGATCGTTTCTAACACCTGCTGATTGCCGTGGGTGTTGAAACCAATCAAGTCACAATTTGTTCCAATTACTGACAAACCAATTTATTCGGTTAACCCAATTTTGGGTTTATCGTGGCTTCGGTGGGATTGGAACCCGCAGAACAGTTTACGAAGTAGGCAGTCCGGTGGATTCTAAATGATTGCTTAGGAAATATCGCCTAGATATTAAGCTTACTGTATCCCTAATGACGGATTCCATAAGTGCAGTAGATTGGGCGGGTAGATTGACCCAAGTATGATTAAAGTCCAAGCTTTGGCATGCCTACGCAGCTCAATTGTAGAGCGTTGGCTGACCAAAAGCCTTCTTTGTGTGCGGATTTGAATCCTACCGAGGTCACCCATTTTTTCCCAATTGGGTCAATTGAATTATTCGAATCTTTTAAATCCTCCTAATAAAACCAATTTATTTTTCAAAATATTATGAAATTGCTCTACTGTTTGGTGCACCGAATCATCTCTTCGTAAGACAACTTGCCACGAGTATTTATAAAAAGTCGTCTTTGTGAAGTGCAGTATAAGGCATGCAGGCAGGAAGGTACTTTTGCAAAATATTCAACTCAATACCTGAAAGAAATTTAAATACATGCAGGTGAAGTTCTCTTCTGTCATATATCTCAGCATTTTACTTGTGATGTTCAAATCGTCCTGCCTTTAACATATTGCCATCTGTCTATGATGACTATAGGAGGTTAGGTGTCACTTCAGTGTCCCTCTATTTCATAAGCTGTTTGCTGTACGTATGAGACCGGACATGATCTATCAGCATCCAAAAACAGCACTGCGCTCATTTTGCCCGATTGTGATAAACTCGACGGCTTCGGTGGGATTCGAGTCCACAACAGTACGGGGATGTCTCTATTACAGAGAGGAATGACTCGCGAGGTCCAACCACGAGCAGCGTATTTAATTGCACTCGGGCTAAGCTACTCGCTCTAACCTACTACAACATATGCATTTACAAATTCCACCACAGTATGTTGACCCTCCAAGAAAGATTTCCGAATTAATGACTCTAGCATCCAATAGACGGCTACCATGCAGAATTTATTAGTTTTGGCCAACTTGACCAAACTTACGGCTCTTGACGGGACTTCGCAGCTTGGCCGGTTAGAGCATCGACTTTATGATAGTCTTTCCTACGCTAATGTGGAGTCAGTCCCCATTGAGACCGCTGTGTTTTAAATAAATGGGCTACGCAAATCTGCCATAGCCCTGTACTTGTATTACTGTGATTGAATAACCCATCCTTATTACCTTGTCCCGGGTCCTCCAAGAAGTAAACACTAGGTAAAGCATACCCTCTTATCCAGGCCAGACATTACAGGTTACAAAGTTCCCAATAATTTTCACCTGTTTGGTTTCAAATGAACCAGGCTTCTTTCTCGACCTTAGCCATTTTCCCGTTATATTCATGAAGTTTTTCTAGTCCTCTCATGTTCGTTTTATTTGAATCAAGGTTAAGGACACCCCTGAGGCTACGACGTATCTGAAAGTTGTTAAAATTGCATCTTATTTGCAAGTACTTTGATCCTTCTATGAGTAAGGATTTAGGCATAGAAGGCGACTTCAGCTATGACTGATTCAGTACTGTTAATATCGAACCAGGCAATACATGCATTGCCAATTTCTATTGTCACTTCTCCGTGTAGCCTATAATATCGACGCATGGGAATATATTTAAGGTTCCACACTTCATGTAGTAAAGTTGTAGCTATCCAATACCTTGAGTAGTGAATGGACACTTTATTATACTTCTAGTTAACATCAATGTTACCTTCGTCCCTCTTAGTCAAAAACAAGGCCTGAAAACCCCCTTAAAAAGTTCTTCACAATGTTTTCGACCATTGACGCTTATTAAAGTAAGACAAATTAGTATTTACATGTACAGTTTATTGAGAACCAAAAACGGTCGATGGAGTGACATGAGTCCAGTCCCGGTAAAGTTGGGATTTACCCCCCAGCGACGGCTCTGCAAACTGAATGTTGGAGGGAAATGTTGGCTTCCAGCCATTGTCCGTTTGAGCACTGTACTCAGGCAGGATTTCGGGTTGGCGATTTAATGTGACGTCGCCATATAGAGCCGGCGATTTTGATTGGGTTTTCTCCGCGTTATCATCATCATCATCGTCTTCAGACTTGCAGCAAAGTATGCATATAAGCATAATGAGAGTCAAGAGTTGTAAGGCGCCGACAACCAGAATCGCATAGAATGAAATAGAAACATTATCCTGAAAAGAATAGTGGGTAAGATGCGATTTACTGTGTTGAAGATAGCGCAATAAGAAAAGGAAAAGCAACAAGAAACATTGTCAAAAAACCTGACTGTTTAAGCGGCCATTCAAAAGGCTAACAACAAGGTATACATAATCACAAATACTCTATTACGAAACAATAACAGTAGCCCGAGTTTATAAATCAATATCTAACCCGGTTAAGTTTGTACACGATTGGTTTTCCTGCCGCCAAAAAGTAGCACGTTGTTGCGACCAGAGCAGCTGAAAGTAGTTGAACAGCATTGGGTGACTAAGCGATGCAATTGTGCACTTTTATGGGTGAAAATGAAAAGGAAGAAAAACCATCGCACACCTCTCAGTAAAAACAAATCCCTGCACATTTTGTTAAAACGTATCACTGTGCATTTTAAGTGGTTTATTGACATCTTTCCCTGTCGTCTAGTTTTTGCGAAGATGATGAGTGATTGTATAGTGGAACGCAAATATCACCGATGTATCCTGTGAAAGTTCATGTGGGATGCCACTGCACTCTTATAGGTTACAAGCACCGAGTTTACCATGAATGAGTGTTAATTCATTTACCTATTTACTAAACCCGTATAAGCAGATAAAATTTCTGCTTCAGAATATCGTCCACTCAAACCCTGACTTTCACATTGAAATACAGCCTATAATACTCTTCCCGTTAAAGTAAGTAATCGCCAAAAAGCCAACTACGGTGTATGTACAAAACATGATACTAAGAATATTAAACGATTCTCAGAAAAGAAAATTAATTTGTGCATTTTAATACTCACCGTTGCTTAGGTTCAGGATAATGCCAAATATGACATATCCTTTGAAAAACTTTGGCCAATGTGAAGAGGAGCGGCATAGTTTGATTAAAACGATAAATGAACCAAAGAACCAAACAAATGCCAGACCCAGCACTACTAGCGACAGGATGACCTCTAAAATGCAGGATAAAAGAAGTGGATATAAACACTGCATTATAAGTGAGGTTTGCGTTTTATTTTAAAAAAGCTGTATGCAGATACATGTCTTACTAGATGCAACATGTACGGGATCTAGTTACTGAGTTTTTTCAGTGAATACAGTTTACCTGCTGTAATGTAATTTACGTTTGAAAAGAGAGACCGATGTGATGTTCGAAATCTCATTGACCGTTTTAACATAACATTAGGGTTGATTTTTACAAGAGATGAGTACATAATGTGGTAAAGAATTACTTCAGAATGCCACAGGTGCCGTATCTCTGCACGCGATGCAGTCCTGAGAACAAAGATTACAAACTATTGGTTTGCTTAACTTACGAAGGTTTACACGGTCGCCTGCGCCATACTCATTTGAGTTACAGGAATAACATGTGTTAAGAGGCGTTTAATACTTGCACACAATCTTTGCATATGGAAAGCATTGCACGATTGTTTCAAGTATTGTTTAAGTCGCTTATTTCCTTCATTCGGTTTGAATGGTTTACTTTTACTCATTACATTTTCGTAATGATTTATGTGAGTCCACACGAGGTATTTGATATGTTTCCAGTAGATAGCACCACATAAACTTAGAAGATTTTGTCTATTTAAGTCATGACATTTCTGGTTTTGTTAGATATTAAAACACATCTAATATACCTCCGCTTCTCGATTGCATGTTTAAGTTTGCATTCACAAGTACGTTTTAATAAAAAAAACTTAAAATACTTTATGAGCCTCCCTGTGGTAATATGCCCAAACATTTCTTGATCCGCATTACTAAAGAAGAATCAAGGGTTGAGAGCAATTTTACTTACCTCTTCTTTTACGTGCACAATGTATAAATCTGTGAGCAATTCTTACTTCATAATTTTGTGCGCAAAATACTTAATGAAGACATTTTGTATAAAGTTTTCCAGGCTATTAGGGTGACCACTTCGAGAAAAGCTGTGATCTTTTTTAAAATAAAAAATGTGCGTTCTTTCATCATTAGCCGTTGTTCTCCACAAGCATGCAGCCTGTTGAAAAATAGTAGGATAGCACACAGGTCTTTATGTGCAATGCAATAAAAGCAAACTAAAACGCTGGCTCCTCCGCAACATTATAATGGGTGCACCACTTAACAAATGACAAGAATAAATGCAGTGGATGCATTGTTCTACATTATATTATTTGTCTTAAGTAGGAATATTGCTCACTACCTTAAAATCTCAATACTTCCAACTAACGTCACAAAGAGCGATGCCATTTAAAATTTCTTAAAAACATACATATTTTCCCCAATGGTTTCTAAAGTAATTTAATGTTTTATCACCCTTTTACTGAAACATCTTTTAAATATTCGAATGCAATTTACTTTGAAGTCACATGTACACACGCATTCCAGAATACAAAAAGCCATCCAAAGGGCAATTTTCCGTGTTGTTTATATCCTAACATTTTCCAATATGCATAGGGATCTGCTTACCTTTATCTTTTCTGAACCCGATTTCTTTAGTGCACTTCGAAATGTCCTTTCCATAATTCTTTAGTGTTGCTAAAATCAACGAAAGATGTTAAAATTATACATCCTTATCCGAAATGAATTTTTATATCAATATATGCTTCTGAATGCGCCTCAAACTTCAAAAATAATATATAAAACGAACGTTTACGCAATTAATTAATGAATAACAACTAAACCTAGGTATTTAATATTCCGTTACATTAATAGTTCCTAATGGAGCATCAGAAACTTTTTTTCTGGTGCAAAGTTGGTAAACCTAAATTTTGTGGCTGTTTCAATTGCTTGTGTATGGAACAACTAATTTTTTTTTATTTTTATATCAAGTAATTGTTACCATTTATTTCCTTTAGAATATATAACACAGTGTTTTTAGCCGAGTCCTTCTTCAGTCAGTATCAGTCAGTATATTTGGAGTAAATGACCTAAGCCCTTAAGAACCCCATTGAAACGGCACAGGAATGCATAAGTTTTTGTGAAATATTAAAAAATTGTTACAGATCGCTTTTGTTGTGCAAAGGTGCATAGAAATATTTTGGAAATATGAATTATTGAGAAGGTGAGGCGTGTTCGGAATGGCAGCGTACAAAAAGTTCACTGTAGATTCAGTATGACCTTCTATTTGTTATTTTTTAGTGTAAATAAAAAAACTATTGAAATCAACTGAGTAGTATGTTTGTTTGTAGTGTTTGTCGTCATTTATGTTAGGTGGCTGTTGGGCTTTAACAGATGATTATCCAAACGTCTCTTGAAGACGTTCGCAATGGGTGAATGCACAATAGATTCTGGCAAGGAGTTCCACTGTTGAATGACCATTTGAGAGAAGAAGGATGAACGTTGGTTTGTTCGGTTTGGTTCCTTCTTCAACTGGCAGCCATGCCTTCTGAGGTTCCTTGTTGGGGCCATTTGAAAGAGATCCTCCCATTTGACATCCAGACCAGTTCCC